GGGTGTTTTAATGTCGTTTTTGGTACCGTCAAGTTTTTCATTCCATCATGGGGACTCTGAAATGTCTTTCTTCGTATTAATTATTCGTTTTCACGCTGGTATAAGCTTCACCCAGGTACAAGACGGATAAAAGACAGCCCCTGCTGCTTTTAAAAACAATTTTTAATAGTAATAAGCCTATATACTTTTAAAGCCAGGCTTATCTCCTAAAGGAATTTCTCGTGTTTTCTGTGCTACGCGCTCTTGACGATTTGCCGCGCTTGAGGTGAAGATGAATTGCGTCAGTCGCAAAGCCGTGACACAACTTGTCTGCAAAGAGTTGGAAAAAGTTTCGAATTGAAACAACATTGAGTCACACCTAAGGAACTCACTACCAGTTTTAGGACGTAGCACGAAACTAGCAAAGGCCGCAGTTCATAATTCCTTACAAGGTCATACACGCATTCGAGTGTGTTGGGTGTAAGTGCAAGTTGATATTGTCTGGATATGTTGAGCTAAGAAAAGGCTCTCCTCGAAACGCGATAATAGAGAAAACAAGCCTTGAGCTAAACTTATACGAACACGACCTGGAAGGTGGTTCTTTAGAACCTTGGTTTTGCTACCAAGATAGTTTGAAAAAGAGGAAAGAGCTGGGATGGACGAAGCCATCAGTCAAACTGATGGCCACAATAGACTTTACTAGAAGTTTCAGAAGTTGATTTCAATACCCGTTCAAAAGCAAACAGTTCTCAGTGGTTTTCAAATTTAATTAAACTGATTTGTATATACTGCAAAGTATTTATTTTTATTATAATTTATTCAGCACAATTCAGCAGATCCACAGGCCGGTTTAACCAGGTGGTTCCGCTGCCGTGTTGCACGGCACGTTCTGTTGGTAGTCTGTAAGCAGTGTACAGCACAGTCCGGTCAAAAATGACCATATAAGAGTAAAGAGACTCTCTATGGGAATTTTCAAATAAATCCAAGTCACGACGGTCGCTATGGGCGAAACGACTATGTTAATTGGAGATTAAGGCGACGATCGTATCAAGTTTGAGATAGTTAGAAATCTGACAAAAGTCTAATACATGCTCAGAGTTTCTGTTTTGCTTACCACAATTGTTGCTTTTTCATTTCCTGGTTTCCGTCGTCAACGTTGTGGTTGATCGAGCTCACTAGAAGCGCTCCGAAACAATTCTTGATATGCGACGTTTTCGTTCAAAAACCGACATCTTGATGGAAATTAAAACGCGCGAAGAAAACGACGTCCACAGGCCGGACCCATAAAGCTCGTTAAGATCAAGATAATTTATTGATTTATAGAAGCACAACTCTTATAATACAAAGTTAAATGACGATCGAGAAAGTCATCTGAAATCATGAAAATCGCTAGACTCCCGAGTCTGAAAAATTAAGAGCTCATCAGAAAACGTCATAGATATGACGGCATTCGATAATACCGTCTGTTTTTGTTAATATAGATAATTACCCTGGTCTTTCCTTTTTTTAGAATTGAGAAATCATCAAGCCTCATCTATTTATTGATGTGTTAAAGTGTTAAATAAACTGTTATCTTGTAGAATTGCTTCTTTGTCAGTTTACGAGGATGGTGGGCCTTTTAATAGCGGAGAAGCCACTTGAAATTAGTGTCTGCCTTTTCATAGTTCTATTCACCTATATATGTGTTTTTAAAAACACTGTTAAATTTCCTTCCAGTGACTATAAAAATAAAAAAAGGGCACAAAACTACGCATTTAATATTGTTTGGACATAGTAAGTCAACATTCCCAGGTGTTTCTATTTTCATGTCTTATATTCAACTGATACTACCTAATTCCACCTAAATCTTTTAATCTTAAAAAACTCACTTAATTGATTTAGCCTCCCTTGTGATCTAGCAGAAACAAAAAATTTTATATGACAGATATATAGTGAAATTTCATCAAAGCCTGGTACTTCCGCCCCAAAAAACAAAATCAATGGCCTTATATTAGTGAACCAGTTTAATTAAGGGCTAAATGGCCAGTCATCGAAAGACATTTTAAGACAAAATAGCCTAGTTAGATCAGTTTTCGGAGGACTCTCTAGCTGGGATGAAAAAAAAAAAAAATGATAACAGCTGTAAGTGAGCGATCTCTAAGTTTCTTGACTGGTTACGCGTTTAGGCATTTTCAATTTCATGTGGTCTAAATTTGTCAAGCTAAGTACTAAGTAAACGGTGGATTACGACTGATGAGAGCTAAGAGAGCACCTAAGAAGTAGCTGTTAAAAATAATAAAAAAGGATTATAGCATAAATATATTAGCGCTTTTAAGCATTCTAAGCGACCGATCGAATAAATCTCCTTCAGTGTTATACGAGAATAAAGTTCTATAGACAATTTCGTCAGTCGTAAAATCGCTGCATGATTGGTCACCGAGCAAGATTTGCAACAGTTGTTGTAAGTCATACGAAAGCAAGCAAAGAGCCCCGGTGAATATAAAATTGGCTAAATTTGGCGATGACACAGTTGACAAAATTCAGCCAAAATACGTTTACTGGTGAACATCGTCAATTGTGGAATTAAGGTAACCGTTCAATATTTTTAATCGTGGATAATCTAGCAAGAAAGAACAATATTTGTAAGATCCCAATCTACGTGAATGATGACGCCTAGTAAGTGAGGATTAAACCAACAACTTCCTGATGACAGAGTGCTCGGAGACGAGAACGCTTTCGTGTCAAAATTAAATTCTCTTGTATCCGTTTCTTGATTTGCATGCATATACAAAATTATTTTCTTTTTCTTTTATTAATGAGCTAGAAAAGGACCCTTTGATCACCTAATTAACGATGCCGGTGATGTTTTTTCGGGAGGGCGATTTAGTTTAACGACGACCACGTAACTTCGATATCACTATCGGCAAGAATTTGAAAAAAGTAAATACCAAAATATAGTCTATACAAAGAGTACAAGTTGGGTCTAAGATATCTAATAGTTCCCTTTCAAAATAATGGTAAAGCACTCTGTTCCATATAGGAGTGTGTCTTAGAGTTACCAGTGCACGGATCGTCGATCCTCAGTGATAACAGACATAACAGCATTTGTTCCTTGATCGTTCAGTTTTCAAACCGTCGCTTGGATTATGGATGTCATTTCAGTATTTGTCGCCTCATGGTATTGCTCAGCATTCAACAACGTTCTTTAAATTCAACTATCATGGATGATCGACGCGAGTAACTCACAATGAGTCAATACAGCTGTTCTTAGGCAAGACAGCTGTCTCCACGATGCTCACGAAAGGATTTTAGTAATTTGAATATGTCAGGGGCACCCGACGACTGTTTTGTTTAAAATATGTGTTCGGGGAAGCAAACATTGCCTAGAAAATTTCTAGATGAACGTTGAATTCATTTAAAATTTTCGAGGCTTATCTAATAAATTCACTACGATTGTTTGAAGTTTTATTTTTCACATCATATAGTTAGGCAATTTTTCGTAGGAAAAAGGAAACCTAAGCATGTGATGGAGAGAGGAATAAAAAAATGTCACTTTGGTAAAATAATACTAAAGCCCTTGTAATTTCGAAAAGGCTCAAGTTCCCTAAGATGACCAAACAGATACAAATTGTATAGCGTCACTTAAAATGCATTTCTAGAGAGGTCTAAAGGTACTCTGGGTAGCCTAAAAAGTGTTTTCGCTGCATTTGGGAGGAAACTGTCGTTGGGTGCCCCTGAAATGTAGCTCTTGCTGTGCGTTTTACCCTACCATATTTACAATGCATTTCAAGGCACATATTACAGGCAGTCCTTTTATTGTAAAGCCGACAACGGAGCAACCTGGCACAGGGAAACTGGAGCGAGCGAAGGAGCAGAAAAGGATCAAGCTCGTCTCGCTCGTCTCCGGGGACTCTCTTTTATTTGCCTCATGCGTATACGAAGCAGAAATTGAAATACGCCTGTAATTCATTTTTTTACCCAGATTTGTGTCAGCTTAAAGCCTGCCTTTAACTTACTCAACACGGTGACGATCGAGTCGAGAGTATGATCTCTTGAAACGACACACTTATCAGGTCTCTGGATCCATCAGCTTATATGTTGTAGTTCAATTTTATTCTTGGTTTAAATTTTATTTCCCTTGTTTTCGGGGTATAGTAATAATGTAAGATAATGAGCGTGAAACAAAGAAAAATAAAATTTAAACCACGAATAAAATTGAACCACAACATATACAACTACTAGTACCATTCAGGTCCTTTTCCCTTTGTCACGTTTCACTAAAAGGTGTGCCGATCGGACGCCTCCACACCTTCTTAAATAAATGACTTTGTTCGCATCCGGTAGATACAGAAACTTCTTGTAAGTGAACCTGATAGCTATATGCTTGCAGGTAATTCTTTTTTATTTTCAGCTCTCTTAATCGCTTTTTCAGCCATCCAATCACACGCCCTTGACAATCTCTTTGCCTTGTTTCTACACCTCGCCGCTTTCATCTCAGTTACGGAGCTTCCCATTTACAGAAACCACCCGGTTGGAAATCTTGTTCATTCACCATTTTCACCGAGACAATAATGCACCTTGTTTACCCCACAAAATTTTGCATAACCACTGTTTCTAAGAGAAATCGAAGACAATAGTTATGCAAGATTTTGGGGGGTAAATAAGGTGTATTATAGTCTCGGTGCAAATGACGTGGTGGAAGAACGAAACGCCACAAAGTATTTCCACATCAGCTGAACAGACTAAAAAGAGTCGAAAAATTGCATCGCCTTAAATCACGGCTCATATTTCTGAAAGTTTCCACACCATTTGATTCTCCAACCAGAATTTCTGGTTTTTTCATGTAAATGGTAAGGAACCCATGGTCTCTTCGTCTCAACTGAGTTGAAGTAGCTTACGTGTAGCCGCACCCTTCCCTCGGGGGGAGGGTGCGGCTACACGTAGGCTAGAGTTGAAATGACTCCTCACTCAAATGGAAAATCGGGTGACTGAATCTGTACAGTAACTTGAGTTTCTCTTCTGACCACGTCAGGTCAAAGACTTCATAAACTATAGGAATCATCATTCTTTCTTTGCATTTTTCTAATGGCTTCCTTCAGGTCTTCTCCAAGAGACATGTCTCGTTTGGTTTTTCTGTGAACCATAAGATCTTCCATTCTTCTAGAATATGTAGGTAGTTCACGAATAAGAGTTTTTATAGTTTTACGACGATAAGCATCCCAGTTAACTTTGTCTTGTAGACTTTTCTGGAGTAAGTCGTCATTTGGATAAGGAGTTTCCTGTAATACAGAACACAAAGTGACCAAGTAAATCATGGGGTGCCGTTATATCTATGGGTGGTCTAATACAACTAGGGCAATTCACTAAAAGACCAGAACTCAGTCTGTCAATGGAGCAGTTGTAACAGTGCCACGTAATAGTACTGTTGAAGAGATCCTTCATATAAAGGGTCAAACTACAGGATTTCATCCACAGTCTCAAAACTTAGAAGAGCAACTTACAAAAAAATACCACGATGTAAAAGTACTTCTACCTACAGACCCAAAAGTTACTGAACCACTTTATACAGCACGAGCCTTAACTAGCACTAGGCCCGGTGGAAGTACCACCAGAGAGGTTTGATTTGAATAGCCATCTCAAAGGATTTCACCCACAGACCAAAAAGTTAGGACTCCCTTAACTTGAACAGCACAATAAACAGTATACCATGTAAAACAACTGTTAAGGAGGTTTTATTCGAAATGTTGCACCATGGAATATCCTCTGACTCAAAATTTAGAATCAGTTTATACAGAGTAATAAATAGCGCCATGTAATGTACTAGAGATTTCATTCGAATGGTCACACTATAGGATTTCGTCTAAACTTTAAAATTACGTCAGAACTACTTTACATGTTTCCATCATTGACTCGAGGGTCTAGGGTTCTGGTGTCCGAGAAGCTTCAACAAATGGACGTGCAGTTAACTTCAAACAAAATCTAACAAAGTACTGGCTAGTCTAGTAGAGACGTGTGATTTAACAGCCCGTATCAAAAGAATCCATGTTCATGCACAAAACCATGAAAATATCTAGTGCCAAATAAGCTGAGTATTAATCCACCAAAAAATCCGGCTACAACATTTTTCAACTTTCATCCCACAACTACATTGTGATGCATGGGAAGTGTAGATTAATTTAATTACTTCCTTGAAGAGTGCGGCGTCATAATGATAATATCCAGCTCCTCAGTCATTCGTGTGGTCTGTAATATCCGAATTCCATTTTACTTGAAGAAGTCCTTTTTCGAAAGGACGTTATGGCAGTTGAAGAGAGAGAGAGAGAGCTCTGAGGTGATTTTTGGAGTCCTTATTTTATAAATTAATTTGTTCATAAGTGCCGAGTAGATAAGTAGGCGCTCCTATGTGATTCTCTCTAATTAACGAAGGGCTGGTTCTTCAAACGCCCGGAGGACTGGGGAGTCCGCGCCTGTCACTTTCTCTCGCGCTTTTAAATTATATTCAACTCATGATGTGATTCGTTCAATTTGATTATCGTCCAGCTCCCGGTTGTCAGTTCAAACGCTGGATAGCCCTATTCACTGGATAAATCACTATCCATCTACGTATTAGACAAACTAATTGCGTTACGCTCTGGATAGCCTGTCTCAGGCTCTCAGTCAGTGTGAACGAGCGAAAAACGGCGGGAAGATCCACCTCACCTTCTCTCCCCAGTCCACACGCGGCTTTTTGCACATTTTTTCGATCTGTTCTCCCCACCTTCTTGGACTCTGGAACAGGCTACCCTCTGGATAGAGATTTATCCGGTAAATGGCGCTATTCACCTTTTTAACACCTGGGGTCAGTTCTAAATTGGTCAAACTTTGATCAGATCCTCTTGTGGGCATTGCAATTGATTTAGTAGAGTTACTTCGGCTTTAGGTTTACTTCATTCCTTAAAGGAGCTATGTCATCAAGTGACTTTCACATATTTCGCGCTCGGTCATTATGCTGGCTGAAAATGATCGGTTTTTAACCTTTTTTAAGCTATTTTTTTGCCATCATAGGAGTTTGACTTAAAAAGGAGGCCCATTAAATTTCCACCCTGGCCATCACAGACATTTACTATCTTGTAGTTGAGGTATATCAGTAGATAAACATTATTTTCAGGGTTTCTTTCATTCCGATGTGCTTTAAGGGTTGTAGAGTCTGAGTACGAAAAAATCATGACTGCTCCTTTAAACCCGAACGCTAAATGGCTCAGTTATGAGAACGAAAACACTCTTTACCGTACCGTGACTAGAAGTCGCCTCTTTATCGCGTCAGAGCAGTGGCTGAGAAAAAACTTCTTGGAAATCATAATACATTCTGCCCCGTTACTGACCTAACAAGAAATTTAAAAGAAGTAAAACGACATCATTGTGATCACAATGAATAAGATATGAAAGGGATTGAGAAGAACTGTGCATATACGCAGTACTAACCAAGCTCAAGCTGGGCTGTTCGTCGAATACCATGGATGACACTCCCTAGGAGATAACACAAAAGAGGTGTACAATGAATGGAAACATCAACTGAACAATCTTTGTTGAAGATTTATAGAGGTATTCTGCACTCCACCATGTTTGAAAGACCACATTAAACATTTTGCACTGCATTTAACTTACATATTCACTACAAAAGCTCTATTGACTTCACACCATGCAAACACTTAGACATAAAAGTGATGAATCATGAGACCATGATTGGCAAAGTACATTGGGCGCACTTCTTTTTCTTTCTTCACTTACTTTATAACACAGTTTGTACTTATTTCATTCACTTGATTATGAAGTGTGTACTATCGTATTGTGCTTAACGGGATTGCATTAGGATAAGTACTAGGACGAAAATTGCTCTTTGTTGGTGACATTTAATTGAAAAACTGCTTGGTGTAAGAATAACGATCTCTTTCCTACTGCTGTTTCAACGGAACAATCTTCATTGGCTCATCAAAAGAAGACTACTTTGGTCTCACAGTGTAGTAAAACAAAGATATAAACATCTAGCAATTATTCTTACAAAACAGTCTCCTTTTTGAAGAAGAGCGACTTGAACAAACATAGGGTGTAAATCGGCCTCTGTGATGCGAACTTCAGTCTAATAATAAAAAATGAAAATAAATAATAATAATAATATATATTTTTTAATAATAATAATGATAATATGAAAATGGACCAACTCAGTTTCATGGTCGGTTGTATGTGGGTGGCATGATGGACTAGTGCACCGTAATTTTCAGGGAGTTATTATAACTCCAAAAATGGAGTAAACATTTTAGGTACAGGATAACCCCTTTTTGGGGGTTATTCTAACTCCTAATTTAACTCCGAATCTGGGGTCATTTTTACTCCTAAAAAAGAGTTCTTTTTACTCCCAGTCTGGAGTTAAAATAACTCCGAAGTGGGGTTACTTTTACTCCTTACATGGGCTGCTTTTACTCTTTTTGGAGTTAATCTAACTCTGAAAGTGGAGTAAAAATTTTAGGTACAGGATAACTCCTTTTTTGGGGTTATTTTAACTTTTCAATAACTGGGGTCACTTTTAGTCCTGAAAAAGAGTTCTTTAAACTCCTTTTTACTCCATGAAAATTACTGTGTGGCGATAAATTTGTGTACGTAGCAGTCGTAAAAATGGAGGGAAGAAGAGGGAGAATTAATGCGACGCCACACCTCTCTCTAAAGCAGTCTAACTGGAAACTAACTGGGATGAAGTAAATGACTTACATAGCTCTCGTGTTAAATGTTACAGTTTTTTTCGTCTGTGTATTACACTGCTTTAAATACCCTTTTTTATTCTTAAAAGAATAAGAGATTTAATTAAACACGGATATCCACGTAATAGATAGCAAATACTGCATATACACTTTTGAGCGCATAATGCACAACCAAGATAAAGATGGCTGACAGTCATCGAAACTTAAGACTTTTCTTGGCTATGTTTTGAGAACATTTAAATAGATAGTAGAGAGCTCAATCCTGACTACTGATGCTGACCTGCCTTTGCTCGCCCTCGTCAATAACTGAAACTTTGTGTAAAGGAAGTTTCTTTTCCTCTTCAGTTAATTCCTCTGAAATACAATGATAAATCGATTACCACTTGGATGGTTATGATTAAAAAGAGATCAGTTTTGAATTAATCGAAATACAGTCGCTTTTACTTTTCACTTGCGCTTTGAATACGAAATAAAACAGAACGACTGCACTAAGCCAAATAAAGTCCACTAGGGTTTGTGAAGAGCTGGAGAGACGACACGCATTGTACAAAATATGGTATAGGCTCCACAACGAAACACACTGAGCGAAACCAACGGAACCAGCTATAGCTGCCCTTTTAGGAAAACACCTTGCCTTATGACGCAAAGAAGTAAAACTAGAACACAAACCAATGTGACGCATAACCTAAGTATCATGAGAATGGAGGCTCTCTTTCTAATTCAGATTCGCTCTTTTTTTTCGTCTCCCTCTGAGTCCAGGAGGGCTGCTAAATCAGTTCAGTGAGCTTTAAATATGTGAACTTTTTCATCTGAGCAATGGGAAAATCTCGTACCACGTACACAAACTCGGGAAGAACATATTGTTGTCATGATTAAACTCAGCATCATAACAGAATAGGAAGTTTTTAGCAAATTTGAAATGGCATCGACAAATTTAATCCATCCTATTAATCTAATTAATGTATATTTTGGGGGAAGAACACTTTCTATCCATACTGCTTACCTGCTGGGGACGTCACTGTCGATTTTGTCCTGACCTTGCTGATTCGTCTCGATGAATTTTGTGAGTGAGCCTTAGGGCGAGAGTAGGATTCGGATCTAGGCCTCTGGTCGTGTTCTGCTTGCAAAGAACTGAATCGAGGACGTAGTGGTGTTGACAATGTCTGAAAACAAATCAGATGACAGAATAGAAAGTGCTACTATGTGTTGAGTTTGCTGATTTCAGGTTCTGTCCTTCAAAAGTCGGATAGCGCTGTCTACTAGATAAGTATTTCTGGTTTTCAAAAAAGATCAAAATAAAAATCAAAACCGTTCAATAGATAAAGTCCAGAATCTTGGAAATCAAAGGAGGTAAATATGCAAAGATCCTCGACAAGATTCAGGTCACAAGAATATTCTGTATACTAGATATCCGAAAAAAATGTTTTACCCACATTTATAGAGATTTGTATGGAGACGCCATGCTGGTGCCCACCTGGATGGGCACCAACATGGCTGACGGAAACCAACAAAAACATCTGTGATCGAGTTTTGGCACAAAAGCGTGAATTTATTCCTAGGGGAACTCATACACATTAAAGTAATACTTTTTCTAATCCATGAAATGTTTAGGTAGCAAAATTCCCCAAAATACACCATTTTTTTAACCTACGTAACAGCTCTCTCGGCCGTCATGTAAATGCAACGTCACGCAAAAGCTTAAAAATTCAAGCGTACTCTATCACAATTTTGAAGCGAAAATTTGCATGAAAATTAGTTTTCAGCTGCTCTAATACATCATGAAAGTAAAATCTCAGTAGGATCGATAGTTATGTATTTTGAATTTTAGTGACGTCATGTGAAAACCAACAATTAGGGAAACAAGTGGAGCCTTTTTGAACAACTGTGGGACCTGAATGATCAATGATCTTGAGGTCGACGCGCTCACTTGGAAGTATGTAGACGACACGACTATCGCCCAAACGATACCGCGAGGTTTGACTAGTGATGTTCAAAGCGCAGTTTCCGCTGTTGAGGCGTGGTCGATCGAAAATAGGATGGAACTGAACGCTGACAAATGCAAGGAGATGCGCATTGACTTTAAAAGGAACACTCACAATTTTCCACCAATTGTGATAAATGGCAAGGAACTATCAGTATCAAACAGTGTAAAAATCCTAGGAGTCACTATTAGCTCAGATTTAAAATGGAACAAACACATCTCAGAGTGCATTAAGAAAGCGAACAAGCGCCTTTATTTTATTGTTCTTCTAAAGCGCGCCAACGTTCCACTGAGCGACATTGTAAATTTTTACTGCACCGTGATAAGACCTGTTTTAGAGTACTGTGCGCCAGTTTTTCATCATGCGCTTCCACAGTATCTTAGTGACGACATCGAACGAGTGCAAAAGAGAGCGTTCTCCATCATTTGTCCTTATGCGTCGTATTCAGAATGTTTGGTCAGGTTCGATTTAGTAACCTTTTATTCCAAGTATGTGTACATAATTTTTTTTGGACTAGTTTGTACCTAGTTATATATAGAGAGTTTTTCGCATTTTTATAGAAATGTTTTTTGTTATAATTTCAATTAGTATTTATATTTTTGGAATTTATTTAATCTTAGTTTTAAGTAATTGTAACGCAATTCAGTCTACGGACTGCCATGTTCGATATTTTAATAAACTATCTATCTATCTATCTATGATTATTCAAATCCCAAAATGCTCACTAAACGATAGCAGCGCATGTTGCAAATGCAAATCCAATTTCATTTGCATGCCTTTTTTCATGGAACGAGACTAGGTTTAGGAATATAAACTACTGGAAGTAAAAGAACATAAAAATGAGAGCTACACCTACAACAATAAAAATTCTTATTTTAAGTATCAAAATCAGTACCGATGAAGGATGGGTTTCCTCTTCAACGGTTGGTAAAGGTGGTTTGCTGTTGCTCCTTTCTCTCTGATCTGGGGTTAATCGTTTCTGTAGGCGCCTGGGCAGTTCACAACCTGACACTTTTCTTGTCTGCCCTCTGTCTTCACCTGAATCACGAAATGTATCTCGTAATCCCTGCTCGCTTGAAGCCTTTCTCTTTGAAACGATCAAGTTCTTAAGATTCTCTGTATGTTCTACTGAATTCATAATAACAGACGTTCTAGGGGCACTGACCACACCGCTTCGTCTACCGGTCGGCGGCGAAGGCGTCCGAAAGTCAATTAACTTGATGGAACCCTCTTCAAAAGAAATGTCTGATTTTTCAGGAGTGGCGAACAGTTTTTGGGCAGCAGCGACTTTGTCAATGGCCGAAATATCGGTATTCAAGTTTGCCTCGTTTCCAGAATCATCATCCGCGTCACTGTCTTGCGTGATCAAACCCGTCCTGAGATGTAGCTTGGGTAACAGTAGCGTCACTACTGACAGTTTTGCTTTAACTCTTTCCAGCCTGTCACGTGATGAGGCCTTGGGAACCTGGCTTTTAACTACAAATAAAAGTAGCGAAGACAGTCAATAACAGATTCACTAACTGTAAAGAAAAATTAACTACCAACCAACAAGTATGGTTTACGTATGTGAATGAAATCGTACCATTTTCGAATCCTACAACTCTGTCGTTGTGTTGTGTAAGGCAGCTTTTTACATGTCTTAACTTCTTCAACACCTGACAACTTCCCTATCACAAATCAAGAAAAATAAATTATTGAACTTCTGTGCAAATTTAAAATCAGATGAACATCGCAGACATGGTGTACATCTACGATCGGGACTACGCCTCACTACCTCACCACCTTTATTGCTACTTTTAAAATGTGTGGTGTTTCACTAATTAAAAACCGTTTCTTTAAGTTTCCCTGGCGATGGCAACGATAATATGCAAAGAAGCTTTTATGTAAAAAGCAATTAAATGTGGCTTTACATTACTAAATGTTTTCGGTCTAAGCATATAGAGCTTTGTCTATTTTAAACAATGACATGTTTTCCCTAAGATGCGCTGAAAGTAGTCGACTTATATTATAATTAAGGCAAGCAGCAATACCACCCATCGTGGCAATAGCAGGGGAGTTCTCCTAGTCAACAATACATTTTAATTATTCATTATTCAGCAGACTTTCAATTCGGTCTAACTACAAATGTATATTTTAAATCTAATAATCTGTGTGCGCCCGGCTAGCTCAGTCGGTAGAGCATGAGACTCTTAGTCTCAGGGTCGTGGGTTTGAGCCCCACGTTGGGCGGAAGTTTTTTTTTGTCAATTTCAAAGGGCGAAAAAGTACGTTTTTACTGTCTCCTTTCTGTTCGGATGGTAAGTTCTTAGAGCGTTTCTTCTTAAACATTTGTGTCCACTTTTGCGGCCTAAAACTGAAAAAGGTGACTCATATCTATGACCTATAGGCAGTTCAAGACCAAACCATGACTAGTTTTACGCTTTGACTCTGTGGATCTGTGTGCGCCCGGCTAGCTCAGTCGGTAGAGCATGAGACTCTTAATCTCAGGGTCGTGGGTTCGAGCCCCACGTTGGGCGGAAGTCGTTTTTTTTTTGTCAATTCAAAGGGCGAAAAAGTATGTTTAAACTGTCTCCTTTTTGATGGGATGGTAAGTTGTTAGAGCGTTTCTTCTTAAACATGTGTCCAATTTGGCGGCCTAAAACTGAGAAAGGTGACTCATAGCTATGACTCTATAGACAGTTCACGACCAAACTGTGACTAGTTTTCACCTGTGACTCGCAGCACGCTGTTCAGAAAACGCCTGGAGATAGCAGGTCATAAAGGGTTATAAAGGGTTGGACTTAGTCAGTCAAATTTAATCCAGTGAAACTCTTGTCAAGGTTTCTTGATATTGTGAGAGGTCTGAACCCAGGGATCATTTCATAAGTAGGTTGAGCATGACCGTCAGGGTGAACGTAGTCCTGGGGACGGTCAGTTTTATAAAACTTTGACAGGTGTAATTTACAAGTGCAGCCATTGTTTTCAGACTCTAAAACAATGACTTCAAAGTGTAAATCACACTTGCAAAAGTTTTATTAAATTGACCCACCTGAATAGGGCTGTTCTTGACAGTGACTGACGTTTCGATAACCTGTTCGGTAGTCATCTTCAGAGTCAAAGTGAGTTGCATCACGTCAGTTGATGGTATCAAACTCTGCTTATGGACCTGATTGGTCAATTAGGTGGCGATATTATTGGTTGTCTGTTAGCTAAGCCGCAATGTTATTGGCTATGAAGACTCCGGCAGACTGTCATTGGTGCGTTTCGATTTGTCTATTGTCACATTCAAGCAGTCGTTTATTGTTAGTCAAACTGTCGCTTGTCCAATCATTCTGTCGTTATGTAGTAAGTTTTGTGTGAGTCCGTCAATGAGTCGTTTCAAGTTGATAACAAAATTATGCCCCGATAAACTAAAGATGACATAGTTTCACGTGTTTTAGTCCCATATTCCGGCTTCCTCAAGAATGAAAAGACAATGTTATTCACTATGAACAGCAGTAAAAGAGAAAAGGATAAATGTATAAATACCGATTTTATGATGTAAATCCAGTCCGAATGATTACTGTCTTTCACAAGGACGGAGCCACTCCTACGAGAAAGTTAGACAGAAATAAGGCTTACCTCTTTTATTTTGGGTGTACCTCCTTTATCCCTTTTGGGTGTATATGAGATTTGGTTGCGAACTATACGTTTAACAGTGGAGTATCAATTAAATAGATAAATAAATAAATGAATATAAAAGCTTAATTCTTGTACCTGAAGAAATGAAAGAGACATTTCTTTGGATTGCTAGCCATAAGCTCCACAGGCCATCCCTTTAAGAAATCAATGTTCCTATAAGACAGAACAACTCAGCTTTGACTCAGGCAGGGTACAAGACTTATATGAATGATCTTATTTGAATAGTGGTTTCCCTTTTACATTCATTAGACCGATCTGAGAGGTTTTCGGAAATTAAGGTAGCTATCATGTTTTTAAGGTACAACAAAACCTTGATATGCAAAGATACTCTTAGCCAGTGCATTGTGTTGTAATTTTTACCCTAGAGAAGCATTCACCGCGTTTCTTGATGAAAGGTCACACGCGTACGTCTCTTATTTGATAATAATATTTTCAATGGAGGAGTATTATAATAAAAACTGGTTTTATTACTAACAATGTATCAGGACGTTAAAGCTTACTGAATAAACTTTTGGTGATCAGGGTCAGTTATGTTCTTGATTCCACCGGCCAGCATAAATATATCAACGAAGTCCTGTTAAAATAGGAGAGAAAAGAGCCGTGCGCTTAAAAGTGTATCTTATCCAGTTTATAGCGAAAATATGGTAGGTCACTAACGAGATAGTCTGGGTGCCAGGGACTCAGCTTCATGCGCTGTTTCTGTTTCTGGTCGAGTCTTTATAGTGACGCATAGCCTGCGATATCATGCCCTCCCTGTTTCTCTATTATATCTTACGTGCGGAGAAAAGGCATGATCGCACGCAGGAGCCGGTTGCGCTACTTGGGCTTTGGCCTACGGCCGACCTTAACGCATCATGCCGTACAGAAGACACCGGTGTCCAGGGTAACGAGGAGCAAAATGGTCAATGTAGGCATAAATATACTCATTCAAACCTCCTTTGAAATGACCAAAAGTTCAATTGGCTCCCTTGAGATTACAGTGGACTGGCGCCGAGTATCATGAAGGATGGCTAATTCCTACAAGAGAGGAAATAAAGGGATATATGAGCATTTCTTTTAAAATCTGCCTGACATGTGTTTATTGCAGCCTGTCCACAACGCTGTCAAATGTTTCAGTTAGTCTATCCACCGTACAGCTGCCAGTTTTTTCTCCAGATGGAAAACGTACCGTTCAGTACATGACGCAAGATTTTACTGTAATTACAAATAAGGAGAAACAAAACGTTTGAGTTTACGCTTAGCAAAATAAAATAATATGTATCAAGCCACTAATTTTAACAGTACATACTCCAAAACTATCTCCACGGCGTAAAAAGTGAACTGTTCTGGCGAAGTTTTCGTGTTCTTCCATAACTGTAACGACAGCTGAAGATAGAAAACATGTTATGAATGTCGTGTATAAGAAGTTTAACTTCCTCATGTTACTTACCGGTGTGAAGTTAAGTTTGACCGTCTGGCCATTCTATGCACTGAAAAGCGAACTGATATATTGCTACTCCCCATCCTCAAACAAATCCCCACCCCTACCACCCAGGAGAGTGTCGTACGTAGTAGCTCCAATGTGAAAGTGAAAGGTGGCACACGAAAGAAAGTGATTGCAAAATGTTTGATATTAACGAGAGATAAGGCCTTGATCATGAAAGAGCTGACGACGAGGCCTTCCTACATCACAGACGTACGGGTTCATATCAGATGACCCACCGCGGCGGATTGTCAGATGATCATCTTTGCCGAAATTTGATTTAGCCTTATCCGAATGTGGGAAAAATACGACAATTTTTAGAGGACCTGTAGACCTAATATTTGAGTCTAACAAGTCACTACTACGTTACTGCCACTCCGACAGTTTTTCACACAATGGGCGCTGGGCAGCGGAATCCATCAGCTAAAACGCCTGGACAAATCTATCTGCGCATCGGGGAAGGCTAAAGGCAAAGACCCTTTTCATTCCCTCTTCCATTTGTTTCCTTACACAGGAGGTATTGGGATTTTTTTCGAAAGCAGAGGGTACTATAAATCCTTTTTAAATGATGTGTTTACGGTAGTCCCGAACACTGATGTCAATCTATCTGTACTCAGGAGAGTGATTGGAACTGCGAGTAAACAGGCCCGACTAACCTGAACCTGACAGCACGAAGTAGAAAGCTTGTGGTATATGCCCTTGTCTCAGGATTGCTCTCTTGGCTTGGTGCCTTTGACGGAAAGCAATACACCATAAAACATTCAGTAAACTTGGTCAATAACGAAGTGTTTGTATTCAACTAAATTCCGTATCTTACCATAAATCATTTAGCTAAAACAGCCGCGTCAAAAAAATGCCCACATCTCTCTCTTCATAATTGGATTCAAACCAACTTAATTCAGTTCGTACACCACAAAAATGAAGGGAAGGAGGGGACACAGTTGAAAAAACTCTTGTAGTTGTAGAAAGCTGATAAAAAAAATGAGGAGGCTTACGTTTCAAACCATCCAACTTTTATCAGTTTGTGTTGAATTCTCTGTGGATATTCAGCAAACGAGCGAATTGACCGCAAAGAAAAAAGAACCTGGAAAACAAAAAGAGTCAAGTAATAAAATTATCCTTTTTTTACAAGTATTTTTTTAGAAATATGACTATAACTAACTGATTTGGTCACAAAACAACGAAAAGTGGTGGATTTATCATGGCTTGCGTGGCAGGTACTCGAAAGGACGTTAAAGTGAAATGTCGATCGCACAATTGTCCTACTGCACGGGACGATTGTCCCATTCAGCACCTGCCCACAGACTTAGGGCTGTTTACATTGAGGAAAAAGACCCTAGCACTGGGAACATCCTAAAGGGCGGATAATCATTGTGCCATATGTTTTCTGTATTCAGTTTACATGCAACGCGCGCGGGTTGTAGTTGTTCCTACCGCTCGGACATTCCTAATACTTGGATTGGATCTTCCTAGGTGAGAGGCAGGAATATCCTAGCACGAGGAAGATCCTAGCACACCTAACACCATGGTACCAGGTGTAAACCCTGGATAAAAATGGCAGTGGGTCGTTCAGTGGGTAATCACGGCAATAAAAGTCGACAATTTTGTTTGGCGACCACCAGCTGATGAACTGCCATCTACTGCTAAAAGGTAGTTATTAACGTTAGTGAACACAGCAGAAGGGCCCAAATTGCATTTTCGTTTTTGTCGCTAGCCTTCATTTTTTCCTTTCCTACATGGTGATCACACGGCCCCGTAAACGGCCCCGTATTTTGTCAGCGCTCAAAGAGACATACACCCTGCGTCTGTTCCAAACACCTGAAAGCATGCAATTTGTGGTAAACAAGTATCATTGGAGTAATATGAGAAAACACTTCGAATAAGCCGATTGAATCAGAGGACAGCTCTGAAAACGCGCTAGAGTCGAGAAAACAAAAACGACTGTCTTGAGTTTTGTTTTGTTCTAGCGTTCTCCCGTTTATGGACGAGGAAGGAAATACTAACCTTGGCTAATTGCTGTTCTGTTCTTTGTCCAGGGTGAACAGACAAAATAAGCTTCACTTCTGCTGATACTCTCATCTACAAAGAACAAACAGGTTGCTTTTTAAGCTTCCAGCGAACTGCTCGGCAGCGTAGCAGATGCACATAAAAGCGCAGAAAGTCAGGTGACCTCCAGAGATGTTAGTTCTGGAAGCGTATCTTATGGTTACACTTTCTGGAATGTCGGGGTAGGGAGAACAACCTGCCGGTGCAATGTGATTCAATAAAGTGGCAATGTGTTTAGAAATCTTCGAGCTATGTTGGTAACTTAACGCGAACTTAATGCTTAGGTCTAAGACAATATGCACTGAGTGTTATCCAAACAGTTTTATGCGCAATCAAGAGCTTAAGATTACGTGACAATATTTTGCTTAAGTTGCAGTAACCAGGTACCTTTCTGTTAGCTTTAAAGAATGACGCGTCAAAAGCCAGTTCAGCTTCCATTTGGTTTTCATTTTCGTTGATATACTGTGTGAACACGGTATGAGCTAAGTTTTGTTCTTCGTTCTCTCTAATAGGATAGAAGACAAAACAAAACATACTTTTATGAATGACCACATTTACCGTGTTGTACCCAGCTCACTAGTCTGGCATATAAACTGTCACAAATGCTACAATGTTTTTTCAGAGGAGATAATTAACATGAAATAAATGTCGCTGTCTTATTTGATGGACTGAAGCGTCATCACTTGAGATAAGGATGGAAAGCCTGTCCAATTGAGAATCGCGAGAAGCTACAAGACACCAATTTTCGACTTTTAATATGGGGAAATAGTGGTGCATAGTGGTAAAACTATCTGCTTTATCATATCCTTTATCAGTGAAGGAGTATTAAAATGCCTCCTATGTTGGGAGGACATGAATGAAGGCAATGTAGTAGCGGATCACTTGTGTGTGAACCGCAACCCTCACCATTTCGTATTTCCTCGAATAAGCGAGGAGCCGCTTATTAAGTTCTCCTGGGCCGAGTTGTTTAAAGCTGGGTTAAGATAACCCAGGGTTTGTGCGAGATTTAAGTTCAGATATGACAGCTCAAGAATAATTTCAGTTTTGATTCTTTTTGTCTACAAGTTGATTATTGGAAGCCTTAAAAATAACAGAGAAAATTATCCGAGAAAATGCTTTTGAACACAATAAAATGAAACCCGGGTTAAATTTAATCCCGGTTTAAGCGCTAATCAGCCTTCGAACAACTGGGCCCTGGTGGTAATCAAGCGCGCATTGGTCCCATTATACAGTTCACACGCAGAGTTATCAATAAAGCGACAACAGAAACAGATTTTCCTTGTATCCCTTCAAGAGCCATAATGGGACCATTATGGCTCTTGATCCCTTCTATTAAGAAAAGTGATGGGCGAGGGGAGGGTAGGGGGCGCTTGCTGATAGTTTAGCCTATGGGTAGGGGCTTATTCGAAGAAAACCGGTAGACAGATCACTTAAAGGGTTACAAACTATAACTTATTCGACGCACACCGAGAGAGTAAATAAAAAGAGCACCAGACTTACTTTTCGTATTTGTACTGACACAGTGAGGCAGACATTTCAACGATTTTCACTGCTCGACGAAACAACTCCTCTGGTGGAAGAAGCTGTCGAAGTAACGAAAATGAAAGAGCGAGATAGCCTATACAGAAAAATTCAAATCTCCTGCTTTTTAACAAAAATAGTTTTATAAAGGACTTTGTGAAAAAACAACACCAGCCCCAAATCCCTTGATTCGCTCTAGATCTGATCGTTCTAATACTACGACCAATATAGCCTCGGCATTGGGCGTTTTTTTTCCCGCTAAACCTTACTGAAGACCTGACTAACTCGAGCTATTTTCTTTGCTACAAACGAACTAAGAGGTTAGTTTTTAAAGAACTGTGGCACTGGGTTAGTGGTCGAGTGAAACAAAATACTTTAAGTTGACAGAGAAAATAACCTATCGCAAAAAGATTGCAACAAAGTGTGACGATGGTTGAATAGCTTGAATTTTGTATGAGTAGTTATGAATCTCAATATTATTCTACTATTACCCCGAAAGAACACTCTAACTAACTTTCTCTATATGGCTGAAAAGAGGGTAAGAGGAGCAAAACATATAAAAAAAATTAAAAACTTAAAAACTTAAAAATCAAAACTATAGGTGCAGAGTGAACTCATGACTACTTGGAAACAAATCAGAGCGTGAGACGTGTTGATACCTTTGAGAGAGACTCAGCTATGCGCTTTCTCTTGCATTGCGTATTCTCTCTACCCACGTACGCAGTGAAAATGTAGCTCTAAGTTAAATTTGAGGTTTCTATAAGATCCTTTTTACCTTGTCAAAATACTGCCTTTCACCCGGTGTTCTGTTTTTACCCCAAGAGTCCATGGTACTCCTTCTGCGCCTGCGCATTTTCACTCCTACCTCCGCCAAATCACTCAATGTGTAAATGCTCATTCTTCGGCCTTTGGCAGAAGCCGTTTCGGATAGTGAGCTGCTGTCAGTGGGGTACACCGAACCCCTCCGAGGCCGCCCATGTTTTGCTCGGGAAATTCCGGCAGTTGCTCGTACGCCCGAATAGTCAACACTCGACGTTTTAGGTGTAAATCGTTTTAAACCCGAACTGTAGCCTGAACTAAGTGAAATGTTGTCGTCCATAGAAGTCACAGTTGTTATTGAATACGTTCGTTGGGACATGCGACCAGCTGATCGAACCTGGCGTATAGTGTCTCCTTCTTCCATGTGAAATGAGGATTTTCTGCAAAGATCAAAGAAGTTTTTGTAACTGTGACGGACTGCTATGAATGGAGCAGTTCGAAAAAGGCCTCGACGTTCGGGGTTCGTCTTTCTAGGAAACGTTTTTATGTAGAGGGAACAACGAAAAAGCTGTACTTTATATCACAAACTACTGGTATTTGTTCTGTCTCGAATTGTCTGACTTGTGTGGGTAAATGAGCTCCTGAATAGGACTGTTGTTGCCAATGACTCATGGTTCTTCAACCTGTGCGGAAATCATCATTAGAATCAAGTGACTCTTTAACTCTGCTTTGAATCTGATAATGACATTCCGCATAGATTTATTCACCCTACTTGCAGTGGATACAAGTGTGAGCGAGCAAAAACTGAAATGCAGTCTTACTAGAAAACTGTACGTGAATTGCAGGACCTCGGGCAGCACCTAGGGGGAACGATCGACAAGAAGTTACAGAAGTTAGGAAGAAAGGGAAAGAAGACGATAGGGAAAAGAATATGGTTGACGTAGCGACCTAGCTCGCTCACTTAACAGACTATCATGAAAGCCATTATAATATTTAAAAATAGTTGCTAGCTCTACGTCCAATAACCTTTACCATCAGGAACCCCCGTAGCAGTTCAGTAATCGAGACAGAATATTCATGAGCGGAATCTTCTTAGACGAAGTTTACGTCTTAAAGATCTCGCATTTAGCTTTTCGTAATCAACTCATATCCCGTCAAATTAGTTTACACTGGGTCTCCGAGCCGGTGAAGCTGTTACAGTTCGGGGCAATGTACATGAAGTCCGACATGAGATACGTACTTGACGGCTGATAGAGGTGTACGACGATGGAGCACCAAAATAAAAGAGGAGATGTATTTTGAAATATTTAGTTTCCACGTTTGTGAATTAGTTAGGATCAGAAACAGTCGCGGCTATTTTCTGACGAAAAAACGTATTTTTTAGATCCAGAGATCTATTCGGCGGTGAGTGATTATAATATGCCGCAACTGTTAATTAGTTATACATTAATGAAAGGAAATAACTAATCCATTAATCATCTTCAAGAGAAATGGGCTACTGTTATCTAATTAAAATAAAGACATCAGCAATACAACAGTTACAGCAATCAATTTAAATTAATGAAAGCATCGATGAAGAGAGAATGTGAATCCATCCGCGATAACAACAAATTATACCACTTGTTGCTTCTTTTAAAAACCATTCTGTTATTTAAAAAGGTTTGTTTATGTAAGCGGCCAACTATCTCATGCTAGTAGTAGTGCAGCTATTTATCGAACAGAGGTTATTAGTCACGAATTCTTGCAGATGAATATAACTCTTTTACGTTTTCTTGACGGCCGAAAGCAGTGCTAAAAACTGCTATCTAGAATATGTTTTAGAGAAAGGTCCTAAGATTAATCCTCAATTCATTTTGAGGCAGCGTGTGCTTTATACACACAGTATACAGGAACGCCATAAGAGGAAAATTATCTCGGAAGAACTTATCTTTCGTTCAGACAGCCAAACTTCCGCACAAAATAATTTTTTTCTTTTCTACCTTGGACAGCAGACCAACATTTTTTCGACGGTGAAGCGTTGAAATTTGGAGGTCAAAAAGCAAAGACCTGGCGAAATTTTCTTGTCAGACTGTGCATTGAGTAATCTTGGGTCATGTCACCTACAAGACACATTCATTTGGGCGAATTAGGACATGTAAAACAATTTCCCAGTACATACGTGATGACCAATAACATGCAGTAATTCATGCGTGGTTGTACAGTTTAGCATTATGTTGTTCCTGGCCAGTGTTTTTGACTATGGTTTGTTCTATAGTGCTACAAACTTACCTCTTGATCTCTCGGATTAGCCGGCTCACATCTGATCTGCGTTGACAACTAAGGAATTTACTGTTCGCTTGTGTAGACAGTCACGCGGGATTGTGATCTTTGACTGATAGTAAACATTATGGATTATTTGCTGTCTTGACTTTCAAAAACCGGTGTTACAAGCTGCTCTTATCAGAAAATAACAACCAGGGGAGCCCAAGATTCATAGGTTTTAAAACTGAAATCGGGAAAAGGTTTCATCCTCGGGGTTTGGTAGATTTTGGTCATTTATCGATGTGATAATGGCCTTAGCGGCCTCTACCTCTGTCCAAGTGTTTTGAAGTGTTTACAAACTTTTAAACGAGATTTGGCCAATATCATCTGCAATATTGAACCACTTCTATGATTTCACGCCATTTTGACCTGATGTATTCCACATTCCCATTTTTGCAACGGGGTTTTCTGTGCCGAAGAATAGCAGGCCCAAGTTCTTGGCGTTTCGCAGTTAGATTGGGCCACTTAGAGTGGAAAAAAAAGCTTGGAGGAAAAAACAGTTTTATTTTCCTCAAAACAAGCCTACCTGAATGCCGATTTCGACACAAAAAAAGCAGAGGTTTGAAAAAAAAAAAAAATAAATAAAGGGAAAAGCGCCGATTTACGGACGCGCTGTTTTGTCCTGCTTTGATTTGAAGAGCTTTCTCTGATTCAGTAAAATATTTCTTTGACACAGCGTAAAGAGTAACGTACTGACCACAAAAGATATTGTAAAAGAAGGTTCCGGGTTGGATCCTGGTCAACTTGAAAAACACGGTGTGTCACTTGGACCCATGTAGCAGATGACCCTAAGCTGTTGCATCAGTTTATGTGCTTAGAGTTTTCTGAATAGAATAGTAGCATTTTTTAAAATACCCCGTCCCAGCCTATCCTAGCCTCCTCCCTGAATTACCTTTACATTAAATTTCTTGCTCAGAACATGAAATAAAAAAGAAGGTTTCTGCTTCATGAATTTCCTCTTATCACGAGCGGTGAGGTCGAAGTGTTTTACTCTAAAAGACAGCGCCAAAGAAAAATGCGTTTTGTCAGCCAACCGGCGAGGTATAATGGCAGGCGGAGGCAAGGTCAATCTGCAGTACAGCAAACTAGAAATATTTTTTGTTTTCAATCTTCTTATAATTATCTATTATTTGCCTTAAAGATACAACAGTCCTTCTTCATTACCCTTAGATTCGTAATCTGTAACTTATCCTTTCGTTTTGCAATGCGATTAAGATCTGAATACTTCACAATCGTCAGTATAAAGAAAGAAAAAATAAGTGTTATTATGTCGAAACATGCTTCGGGGCTGGAATCTGGTAGAAAGACTTATTTTCTATTTATCTTCAACCTTGTGTAAATAAGAATTCGTAAAACCTCGCTTTTTGATTTTACAATTTGATGACGTCACTCAACCTCGTTGCCAGGGTTCTCTGGGAACGAGGTTGGACGTCACTGTGAAAAAGTCGTCATAAGAGTGACAGTGATTGTTTGCTGTCCATTAATCTGAGTTAAGCCCTCTGTGCATGTGCTTGTTTAGACAACCCTGTTCAGAAGTCTAAAATAAGCTTCATTTGTTACAGAGAATACTGATGGGGCCATGCCAGTACTTGTTCTTTGGATCGCTTTTCTAATCAACACGGACCAGACTGTGTGGTATGCGATAATATAATCTGATCAACACACTTTGTATTCTCACTTGGCCTTAATATTTTCCTTTACAAATCACGACAAAGCAGAAAAAGATCAGTAACTATAAAATACAGCTAGGTATGGAACAGACGCTATCTCCACCAAGGAATAGCACTTTGTCGACCGACAATTCGATGATGGCAGATCCTGGTACTTATTTTGAACTATCACCAAATTCCGTATTTGTGAAGGACCCGGCTTTCTTCATGACTCTTGCAGTTGTTGGTTTTCTTCTCTCTGCAGTTACTACTGTTGGAAATGCTGCATTGCTGTTGACAATATTTAGAGACACTCGCCGCCTACTACAAACTCCCCCATCATTGCTGATCACTAGTTTATGCGTGTCTGATTTAATGGTGGGATTAATAGCTGGGAATCTCGTAGCTTTGAAGGATGTGTATCGTTACCAGGATCGCCCAGTTCCTGATAAACTCGATCCTGTTGTTCGTTTGGTTCTTGCTCTAACATTGCTCGTATGCAGTGGGACAATCATCGCTTTATCATACGATCGCTACGTTGTGGTGATGCATCCCTTAAAATACAAATCTACCGTAACAAGGGGAAGAGTCAAGCTGTTCATCCTCGTAATGTGGACAGTTTCTTTATCCGTTTGTTTTATTCCAATGATAAAGATCCCCCGCAAAATATTAGAGCTTGTTTACGCACACTCCCACGCTTCACTTCCTATTATAGTGGTAACAGTTATGTACATTAAAGTGTTCCAAGCTTTTGGGGAACGAAAACGAGAATTGAAGGAGGCTGGAATCACAAAGGAGATGAGAAGCAAAGTAGTTTTGGATCGAGAAAGACGGATGGCACTGACAATCTTGATAATACTTGCATTAATTTACATGACATTTTTACCTGAGTTTATTGCGTTACATGTGCTACATTTGTGCCAATCTTGTGCACGATCTCTGACATTCAGAATGCTGGAGATAATATTTTCTAGGTTTATTTTCCTAAATTCCGCGATGAATCCTTTTGTGTATGCTTGGAGACTGCCTAAGTATCGCAAAGCAGTGCTGTCCTGCTTTGCTTGCCCGAAATTCCGTGATAGCAAGCGAGTGCGTCAGAATAACAAAATTACACAAACGAAAAGTAAACTGAACAAGGAAAAGAATAACGTGGGACCTTGAAAGTCAAACCGAAATTAAAAGGAATATTCCGTTTTTGAGGGGTAATTCCTCTGCAGAAACTCCATTACGTCATTTAGTAACATCTTTCCACACTTGCTGTAGTGTCTCTCAAACAGTACAAGGCCCCTCCATTGCATTGTTAAACCGCCCTCCCCTTTGAAAAGTTACACAACAACAGTTTTAGAGAGATGGTATTGCTACGAAACAACTAAATTAAATTAACTAAGGAATTTTAAAAAGAAACAACCGCGATATCTAAACACGACTTTGTCTAATTGAGTAAATGTCCTTAAATGCCTCCTAAATATATAAAAAATATATT